GGCCTTCAGCCAGGCTCGAGCTCATGGCGCCCAGCGCATCGCCTTGGGAGGACCCACGCTGGGTTAGGGCTTCGGCCTTTCATACCGGAAGGATGCGATGAAGGAGGGCTTCTGGGTTTAGCCGTTTAAGAATCTATGTTTCTGAAAAAGGTTCAGGATTCAAAGATTCGGGTTAAGGGCTGCAACAAGAAGGGGTCACGAAACCCAGCACAACGCTCGTGGAAGTAGTAGAAACAACGGGCGGAAACGCTTTAAGATGCACCTTCAAACAACAGGCTTCCCGGACCGCTGTGGTCCTGCTCCTTGCGGTTTAGGGGTTTAGTTTATGGGTTTTGGGGGGGGTCTGTCGGTGATGTCGAGCTGAACTGGGGGTTTAGGTCAAAGTCAGGTTAGGGTGTGCAGAACACGGGCTGAGGATAAACTGATCCACGAACCAGTACCTCAGACAAAAAATGTAAACAAAACAACACCAGAACGACAAACACACACAAGACCCTCACCCCAAAGGCACAGCCACAACACAGGTTTCAGGACTTGCTTGAGATATGCGACATCCTCTGGCCATGACATCGGGATGGGAGTTGCAGGTTAAAGCTTGCGGCAACGAGAAGCCATGCTATGCAACCTTGCAGGTGCTCCTCGCAGACTTTACGGTTGCAGGTTTGGGGCGTGGCGGATGAGTTTAGGATGTCACGGTGAAATGCTATCTGTACCCTAACCGAGGCTTGAAGAATGTGTTGCGAGTCACGACAGGCTGCATGGCAGCCGCCCCGAAGACCCAGCGAACGGTATTCGGCGACGTGTCTGGCAGCGGCACTCGTGACGAAAGACAAAACTTGGTGTGGGGAGTACTTTGCAGGCATTTGGGGCTTCGGTGTAGTATATCTCTATCTGTATTAGTGCGTGACGGTAGGAGGCAATGTAGCCTCGGCTAGCTTCGCGAAGTGGGATTTGAAGATGCTCATGCTTCTCACTGCAATGGCCGAAGGCCGAAGTGATTGTGCGAATCCTGCGTGCATATATTCACAGGAAAGTCTCAAGGACCAAATCTCTCAAAGATATCTGCAGTCGTTCGGCGCCTGGCCGAGATCGCGATGCACTCTACCGAACGTCCAGAGGAGGAGCGTAGCAAGTCAACCTCCACAGCATCGTGAGAAGACCGCCACCGCTAGAGCTCGAAACAAGATTATTAAAGCTAGCATGGCGGCCAAGAAACAAACATCAATGCACAGACCCGTCAGGAACCCGATGAAGTCATACTGCTGTCTCTCTCGGGAAGCGGGAAGCATCCACGAGTCCACGAGGAGACGTCAGGAGTTCTTCGAATCTTCCGTGACTCGGGGGGGGGCGGGCTTCTCACAGTCTCAGCTTCGGGCAAAAGGATTGGAAAATAGTTCTTGGGGCTTGGCGTGTAATGTGGCGGCGTCTATTAGCCAGGTGGGGGGGGGGGGGTCTATAATGCGTCTTTTGGTTGGCTTATTCATTCCGTTGCCAATTTGAAGGGGGGTCTAGAATGCCTGTTTTGGCCGCCTGATTTTTGTGTTCCATTTCCGGTCAGTCTTAAGTCACTCACAATTTTCCCCTCTGGAGCCCGAACTCTGCTAAACCCCAAATCCCCCCTCCAAACCCCGAAACCCTGGCCCTCAAGCCCGAATCTCGCTCCAATACTAAACCCCTTAAAATCCCTAAACCCTAACCCACCCCAAACCCTATCGTTAGTACCCCTCTAAGGCCCTTTCTTCGGACTGAGAACAGCAACCTTAAGCTTTCAAAAACACTCTAAAGCGTTTTAGTTTTAGGACGGCTTAAGCTCGGGTTTCAGGTGGGCTTTGCCTAAGGTTGGGTCTTGGGACTGAGAACAGCAACCTTAAGCTTTCAAAAACACTCTAAAGCGTTTTAGTTTTAGGACGGCTTAAGCTCGGGTTTCAGGTGGGCTTTGCCTAAGGTTGGGTCTTGGGACTGAGAACAGCAACCTTCAACTTTCTGCAGCCCTCGAAGTTTCCAAAAACCTTAGGCTCGGGTTTTAGGTGGGGTTTACTTGAGGCTTGGGTCTTGGGACTCAAAACAGCAGTCTGGGTCTTGGGACTCAGAACAGCAACCGTCAGCTTTCCAAGAAGATCCCAACCACTCCAAACCCACCGAACCCTCCTAAATCCTTTTGCGTAAGCCCACCTACCGAACCCTTCTAAACCCTTCTGCTTAAGAACAACAAAGCGCCGAAACCTATCGACTGAAGCTAAGCACCCCAGGGCCCGCGAAACCTACCGAACCCTCCTCAACCCTTCTACCGAAGCACCGAAACCTAATGGACCCTCCTAAAGACTTCTACTGAAGCCCCGCAGACCCCAAATCAACCCAAGCCCCCACGAAAGCCTCCCATGTCATCCCAAAAAGAAACCTACCAAGCCCTCCTAAGCCGTGTGCTTAAGCTAAATCATATTGATCAAGCCATCCGAAAGTAGCCGGTTAAAGACGCCACGACAGTAGGGACCAGGAATGCAAGATACAGGCACTAGGGCATGAAGCCCGGGTTTGGGATTTCAGAGCTTGGGTATGCTCCGTTGTGCTCGGCAGCTGAGTTGAAGTTGCCATTAAAAGGATACCATATCTGCACTCTAATGTCCCCGGTATAGTAAGCAAGAGCCCAGTGTTGAAGAGCTGCCCTTGGCGGCTGATAGGGGGTACTGACACCGTGTTCATGATGGGGAACCCTTGGGAATCGAACACTATTACTAACTCTATATTCACTCTCTAGATTTTGTCTTGCTGCAGACGAGCCGAATCTCAAGTAAAGGCTCATACACCAAGTAAACTGCAACAGTATACCATTATGCCCGAAACTGGGTTATACACAAGGCGACCACGTGTAATCCTGAAAGGCTGCTGACGACTCATGAAGATGCTCTGCACAAGCGATTGAAGGAGGGCTTATTGTCGCAGCCTTGTTGTGGCCCGTAGTGTTCAGCCAAGTGCTGACAGCGAGGGTCAGCCTTCAGGTGGAAATGGAAGCAGAGTCATTCTGAGCGCAATAGCTAACGCTACAAGCCGTGATGCCCTCAAATAGGGCCCTTCTAAGCCTGCACACCAGCTACCAAATGAACATCCTACCGGGCAAGAATTCCCCGCGTAATTGCAAAATCCAATTACCATGTAACTGTCTCACGAACATCGCTATCCACCCCCAAATGCCTGGTCGACTCCACGAGGGCCGACCGCTGACCAGCAAGGACCTTCCGCGCTCGAGGTCTTGTTAAGGCTCTTGTGGCGTATGGCGTGCGAGAGAATGCAGGACACACCACGGCCTCATGCGAAAAGCTCGATTCATGGACTCTTAAAGATCGCTTGAAACAGCTGGGCGACGAGACCTCCTCTAAAGCTCCGAAAGCACCGGGGCCACCCGTTAACAGGGCTGTCCTGCAGCACAGGGTTTTGGTGGTTCTAAGGTTTGGAGCCTTAGGAGTATAGAGCTTTCAGCGTTTAGGGTGATCCTTATTATGGATGGGCAGCAATATCATTTCTGGCTGGACTTGGCCTTTCCACAGCTGTGGTTTAGGGTTTATTAAGCTATTAACTTCTGATTGAGCCTAAAGGTGCACAGGATGTTAAAGGCTTGCTGTTGGCGTTTCGACGCAGGCTTTGCGGCTGCGACTAACTGGATCTTTCTCTCTACGACCGGCCAGTACTACGTGGCGACTAGAGCCAGCACAAGTGAGGGTACTATGACCTTTGGTCAAGCACCTCGCAAAACAGTGCCTGAAGAGGCCAACAAAAACAAGATTCTCATTGAGCAGGAGCATTCTCATTGAGCAGGAGCGTTCGTCTTCTTGCCATGCCTGTAAGAAACACACGGACTGCAAGACAGGCTTACTACAGATTACGAGGCTTTCATATCAGGGATGTGGAGCCGCTGCTAGCAAACCTCAGCCCCCAAGCCCGAAGGCACAAACCCAGCTGTGCTTGGCTCGGCCCTTATCCCCATCCAATAATTCTTGGGTTATCTGATTTCGTTACAAGCTACTTAGCATGAGACTCGTCAGTCAACCAAAAAGATAAGTACGATCTGTGCGTTTCCGAATCGAACCAGATCTGAGAACCCCTGGAACAGCCCGAGAAGGTTCAGAAGGCTTCTAAGACCAGAAGATGTTCTGACCTCTAGACTCCTTTTCACAAGAGTTATGCAGGATCCGTCCCAATGTCCTGAGAGCTTCCAGACCAGGCGGCTGGCCGCTGGAGAGCACTTTGCGAGAAACGACGTCAGAGACTCGCGGGGAGACACGCGCGATGATCCCAATGTTGACCTTTCTGGACTGAAGGTCGAGCTTCACGACTATACAACGAGGACGGGGATATGGGTGACGATGAGCATCCAGATGAGGATACAGACTTGACTAGCATCATCACAAGGATGTCGATGCGCGGGAATACGGAGAAGGGGGACAAGCAAGTGAAGGATAATGATGGTGGTGATCTTGATGACGACGGACCCCTCCGCACCATCAGACCACCATGTAAATTCACGGAAGAGGGACCACAATAAATCGACAAGGCAAGCTGCCATTGTAGCCCATGTGTGAGCCCGGCGTAGGAGCTTCTGCCGCCGTGTCTTGGAGTTCTCTCTCTCGGTGCGGAGCATGTCTTCCAGCTCCTGAAGCAGAGAGGGGGTATGAGTATGGACCCCTTCCAGCATTGCCGAGCATGAATCGCACACGGCAATGGCCCGCATAAACCGCGACCCCTCACACCTGCTCCGTTTCTCGGGCTCTACAAGCCCTCTGCTCGTCGTGATGCTAGATGAATACAGTATACCGGGAAAAGATGCCATGCGTCGGGTAGAACACATTCGAACACATTCCCATGATGTTGGGGCACGCTTCGAGGCCCTGAGTTCTTTTAGACATAGGGTTCAGAGCTTCAACATGGGTTGCAATGCCTAGAGCGGCTTACGTTTGACATGGGCTGGTAGAGCTCATATTAAATACTTGTTGGTTTGCAAGCATTCGAGTAGAAGGTCCAGGTCAAAGGGTGATGGGGTTTAGCACTTGTTGAAGATGAGGGTCAAAGCAGTTGGGGGCAACATAAGATCACCGATGCTTAGTGGCCTCAGGCTCATCTCGCATAATTGCCGCAAACATCTGCCCGTCACACCTTCGTCTCCAAACCCAAACCCTCCTAAGGTCCTAAACTAATCTCTTCGAATCGCGGAAGTTCACACATCAAACCGCAAACCTCAAGCCCGGAAGCGATCGAACTTAAAACTGTCAAACCCATCTTAAACCCCTTGTGCCCTATACACCTGAAAACGCCTACAACTCCCGCACCCTCATTCTCTCAGGCCGTTCTCAAGGCCAACGCATGGCCCCTTGTTTATGAAACCTCAACATACCTAAACCCATCATGAAACCCAAATCGCTTCGTCAAAGTGGCCCGGGCGTAATTTGGATCTCGGAGAGCTCGTTGGAGCACCTCGCGCAGGTCTACAATGCAGGGCTTACTGGGTTTATATATACAGTCTGTATAGGTTTATGCACGGTTGATAAACTGATACAGGCTGTATCGGTTTGGGGTTTCAGGGCTTAGGTTTCCCTAGGCCTTTTTAGGGTCAGGGCATCATAGCCTAAACTAGCCACCCTCCTCGAAACTAGCGTTGGAGCCCCATCTACCGCCGCTTCAAGAGACGATGATGTGCCATGAACCGCTTACCACATTCCATGTTCGTTTTAAGGTCGACGCTCAACCGAAAAGACCCCAAAGAAAAAGCAAAATCCTGTAAACTCTCGGCCCTGAGCCCAAACCAATACGCCAAAATCGAAATGCACGAATAGAGCCCCACACCCCGGAAGCCCAACGCCCCTAACCCACCTCCAGGGCGGTGGCGGCGCCGTCCGGACCGCGACAGGCTCCGGTCCTCACTCTGAATTTGGTGCTTCCGAGCCTTATAGCCTGTCCTGAAATGACCTCTTTCTGAAGCCTCAGCGTCTGCCCAAGCCATAAATCGCAAAAACACTGTAAACTGACAGACTGGAACCTTGATCCGGCCCAAGCACATTACCCCGAAACCCAAGGGACAATGCTTCCCTAACAAATGCAATAACAATTGTACAAGCCCGTATTTCCGACCTTATAAGGCAAGGCCTCATCATCCCCTATACTGGTTGCAAGCTTCGTAGGAAGCAGGGCTTTGATTGGCAGTATAGGCAGATGAAACCCAAAGTATACACTCACCAATATCCAGGGAAAGGAGCCCCATAGATATTCACTGATTGACAAAAAGCCACCAAAAACGTGCTTCAGACGAACGCCTACCTAAACCCTAAACCCTCTCACCCTAACCCTAAAACCCTAAACCCCTATAACCACGGCCTCACCAGCTCCGCTGATGTCTGCAGGGCCGCCGACGCGGCTCCTGCGCCCACGGCACCCGCAGAGGCCAAAGCAGCCAACGCCGCCAGTGGCCTTTGAGGCTTTTGAAGAGTGTTTCAACACCGATTAAGGGTTGAGGGTTTAGGGCTTAGGGGTTTAGGGTTTTGGGGTTTAGGGTTTAGGTTCTATGGGGCTTCGGGGATTGAGCCCCATATGACTGACAACCCCCAACCTTCCCCATAAGGACAAGGGGCAGGGAAAAGAGGGCGCAGAGCGTGGACGCACTTGTGAAGAAGCCTCAGCTGGATTCAGGATCTTTAGGCGTGCTTGGCTTAAGAGTTTTTGGGGGGTGATCGAGCTCAGGTTTAGGTGGTTTAGGTTTAGGGTATGCAGGGCCCATGGGCCTAGGGTTTAGGGTTGTTTTCAACTTGATTTCTCTTCTCCTCTGCTGGTGCGAACGCTGCACGCTTACATCGTCAATTACGTAGTTGCCCTTCACATGCCTAAACAAGGTCGGCTTGGAGCAATTTGTTTCGGAAAATGCATACAACGTAGGGCCTATCGGCATATCTAGTAAAACCCGACAATCTTCAAGTGAAAGAGTTTCCACAAAAGAAGGACCCGCAACAGAAGCCCCGAAATGCAGAATCCCTGGTGAACTCATCGGAGATCCTGGTATTAGCTGGCAGTGTTGCCGGCTTCGTGTCTAGACTGCAGTTTAGGGTTCAGTCTAGCGGTTAGGGCTAAAGGGTTTCTGGGGATAGGGTTTATGGGGCTTGATTGCTTCTTCGGGGTCCAGGATTTCGGAAGTTGTTTGTGACAGAGAGCAGCACAAAGCCTTCCTGGCAGAACTTAGTGTTTAGGGCGGCTTACAGTCAGGCGGCAACTTTCTATGCGAATCTTTAAGGTCACAAGCATCGATACTACCGGGTACCACCGAATGGATCAACTGCAAAATTACCGACTAGCCGCCTTTTGGCGGCCTGTGCCTTGATGTACCGACATTTTACTGCACACTCCAGGTCGTCTTCGTCTGATGGAGGCGCACCCTGCAAAGACAAAACCAATCAAACCTGAACCCCTCGCTCCCAAGCCAACAACCTATAAAGCTCTTGCACCATCAGTATATAAACAACAGACAGAGGGCCTGAAGGAGTGACCACGTAGCTCACAGCTTGTGCCAGCGGCGGGCGAACGACGCACCAGGTGGTCTGTACCTTTTATCGACGATGTCTGGCTTGAGGTTTTCGGGTGTTTGCAAAGTGTTATCAAGGTTTTTGCTTAGGCTGTTTAGGTTTATACAGATATGTCTATGTAATTGCGGTAAGCCACAGAACTTGTATCTATGTTATATCTATACTCACGAGAAATGGAGACACGAACCATAAGCTCGTTTGGTGTTCGTTTGGCCCTACCCGCCTTGTGATCACGACAACAGAATTTACACCATAAACCGTAGAATTGCAACCCCCACAACCCTGAAACCTAAAGCCCTAAATCTTAACATCCTAAACCAAAAAGCCCCACATCGCCGAACCATACGACCTTAAAAGACAGCTTGTGCTACTGCCGCTAAAAGTTACAGATTGACGCACTCCGAAGGCTGTGGCACGGAAGGTTGTTGCCACAGAGGCCTGCCAGGAACCGCTGCACAAGCAAGCACGCGGAGGATATTGAGGCATGTGGCAGCACTTTAACGGGTTGCTCCAGGGTTTGTAGGGTGCCAAAAAATTGATCAGGGGTGTCATAAGGCTGGAAGCGTTCAGGCTTAAGGGCTGCAAGGTTTTAATTTCTGTAATACAGATACGATATTTAGCTCAAGGTATTGTCAGGGTGCTGAACGTAGAAAATTGCATTTTGCGACGTTCAGGGAGTAAAGTGTTTAGGGCCGATAGAGCATTTGGTTTATGGCTTAGCACTCTGGTTCTACACTACTTGTAGATGCATTGCATACGTACACATGTATGTATATGTAACAAGCGATACATAGGCTCGCCGACAGTGCGTAAACCTACATAGATAAGAGCACATGCATGCACCTCGCTGCATGCAGCACCTCGAGAAGAATCCGTCGTTTGTAGAAAACTGAAGCGTCTCAGCCCAGCCTTTGACACTTTCCAGTGGGGTTAATCCGAAAACTCCACCAAAGAGCCACGCCCCAACGAACGACTGAACTCTCACAACTTAGCCGAGTACTGGCCTCAGCTGTTTCCGGTGTTACAACCAAATTCACCAGAGCAGAAACAGAAGGCATCTGATCCCTCGAAGCAGGAGGTAAACGCAAGCCGGAAATCCCAACTACGAAGGTTAAGGATTTAGAGTTGGGTTTTGGGCCCCGGGATATGATGATATGATTTTGGATTCAGGTGTGTCGATCGCTTCGAGATTTTTCAGTTTCGCAGTCTGTTGTAACACCAGAAAAGAGATCTCGTCTGAACCAGGTCGTCCTTGTGCAACCTCGGCACTACTAAAACAGAAAGCCGCCACAGCTTGCAAAGCCTACTCTGATGTAACTTAATCCTTTCCTGCATTTCTTGGCTCGTCTGACTGCTTCTGAGTAGGCAATGGAGGAATGGGTCCATTCTTCCCCCATTCCCTACGAAGAACCAGGGAGTTTCCTTTTAAACCCTAAACCCTAAGAACTACGAAGAACCAGGGAGTTCCTTTTGAAGGCCCTAAACCCTCAACCCTAAACCCTACTAAGAACCAGGGAGTTCCTTTTGACAAGAACCAGCCTGTCCGGCCGAGACGGCGAAGTTGCCAGCCCGGCCAGCGGCGCTGCCTCCAGAAGGTTCTCAAGGCCCACTTTTTGGGGATTCTCCCCATGGATTCTCTTAGGGTTTAGGGTTAGGCTTTACTTTGGGAGTCTCCTAAGCTTAGGCCATACCTGAAACTCAGACTCATGTTCAATCGGGCTCATTGGGTATATAGCTGTACTCCAAACCCGAGTTGTTTTTGGGGGGTTTGCTTTGTCAAGGCTCCGTGTACTTTAGCCCTACAACCAATTTCGTAAGGGCACCTGATTCGAGATCCTCCTAAAATGGAGGTCTTACAACGTCAGGGTGTCCCGTGTGCGGCGCCCGTGGCCTCTGAAGCTCCCTCTTCGGGCTTCAGGGCTTCGGGCTCAGGGCTTCTTAGCCTGAGTTAAGGGTTGCAGCTTCAAGCTTTAGGCTTCGGAACGTGCCGAAGAGAATAGTTTTGCAAAGCCCTCCTCAAGGACGGCTCCTAAAACGGCGGGGCCAGTGACCCGTGCAGACACGACCTTCAGGTAAATCTACTGGACTTTGATCGGTCATAATTTACAATACTTGTCGTGCTCTGCAACGGCTGCTCCTTCCTACGTCTTCTTCTTCTTCTCAGGTCATCCCCGTGATGAGCCGTAATATGTGGTATTATCAAGCTATCGCATCAGTGATGAGATGGTGGGAGGACAGAGATGAGACAAGTCCGGTCGGATACGCATACAGCCGCATACAGCCACCTACTACACAACCTCAATGCGTCCTCTCGTCCTGACCAAACCCCAAACCCTCGAACCGCCAACACTTTCAATCCTAACCGCAGAAGCCTAAGACCGCGGAAACATTGAGTCCAGTTCAACCCCGAACCCCAGATTCGACACAGAAGCAGCCTGCTGCGTTGAGTGCCACACGACCTGCTGCATTGGCAGCCGAGTGGATCAGCCTGCTTGGAGCCTGGGCGGGGATGTGTTGAAATTTAGGAGGGCTGAAAGGCTTGGGGTTGGCTTCGCCTGGATTCCTAAATTTCAGGGGGAAGCCTCCCCTGTTGCACTGATTTCTCAGTCAGATACATGGACGCCTACTTAGTAGATGAGGACCTAGGTAAGGTGACTGACCCTACTTGTAGCTCCGAATAAAAGTAGCTCTAACCCTGCGTGAATAAGCCACTGCTCATTTTATGCTTTAGGTTTGGGGGCTTAGGCAAGCTTCATGCTGCACGAGGTCGTTTGCTAAACTATATGATGCAACTAAGTACTTTCATGGGAACCCTATTTTAAAGCAACTTCCACATGAGATCATTGAGACTTATGCCGTCGGACAGCCTGCAGCAGCCGCCGTGCCGTCGGCTGCCCTCGACCTGCACAGCCCCCCCTTCCAGCTCCTGCTTGCGGATCTTGCTCAGACATTGAGTTAAAACGAGTGACAGCAACAATAGCAGATCACCGGCGACGAAGACTTGATCTAATGCTTAACAATTGATGCTACTGTTTTTACTAATGATGACGAAGGCAAGATTAGAATAAAAAATCATCGCAGCAGCCACAGCAGCAAAACTATGATCATGGTAGAGCAATAGGAGCACTGTTGGTAGTCAGTATAATAGTATAATGAGTATAATGGCACTGGCACTTGCTGCTGCATTCATAACGGCAACTTGCTCGCATTCTGAGAAGTTCGCGGGTGAAGGCGGCTTCGAGGGATCCCAATCCCCTCAGCAGTCAAATCCCGAAATTCCTTTACACGTCGTCCTGAAGCTTGAAACTGTCAAGCCCGGGAGCTATCCTCTTGAAGCCCGAACAGTGGGCCGATACAAGACTACTGACTACTGCCTCCAATCACGAACTTCTTAGAAACTGAGTATTCCATGTCCCTTCCTCATCAAGGCCCCAAGTGGATGATCTACACATCTCAATCCCTGCCTCTATCCTCAAGCGAAATCGCTGTGCCAGGAGGCCTTGCAGCCTGCGCCCGCTTGCAAGGAATGCTTACAAACGTTGTTTGCGACGAGTCGGCCATGTCGTGACCAACATACGATCCTGGCTGGAAACGATGCTGCTGCTAATGCTGGCGATGATGAAACTGCGGCTGTTGATGGTGCTTTGGCGATGAATGTGAGTTTGCTGATGAGAGTTCAAGCCTGGAACGAGGCTACGAGCAAAGAAGACGACGACCATGATGAAAACGATGAGGACAATGGCTGTTGGCATGGTGACGACGACGAAGATCGCTGTCGTCTTCGATTGCTGGTGGTACTGACGAGGTTGTTGGCCTTGTGATTGGACATTGTCTGTGTACGATGCAGTTTCGTTTCTCTGTGTGAGGTGGCAGAAGCCTCGACTTCCCTACCGCTGATTTTTTACGAGTTGGGTATTCAGGGCATCCATAGCTCCCGCACCAGAGCGGAAAAGACAGCCCAATCCCTGACAAACCAAAGCAAGCCAAGCCATTACAGCCCAGCTGCAACTAGCATGAGAAGAGCGGGCGGCGAAAATACTGCTACCAAGAATGACTATGAAGCATAGTCACAACAAGGAAGAAAGTAAACGACCCTCTGCAGCTGGAAATCCCTAAAAAAGCTAAACCCCTACAACCCTAGAGCCCCATACCCGAAACTCGAAAACCTGAAACGGGTGAGGTTTGCTCGTGCGGCACCATGGCCCCCGAACTGCTGCTAGGAGCCCAATCTCCCCAGTTTAGGGCAAAGTTTGAGGTTTCACAAGGGTTGGCTATAAAGGTGTTGCTTCAGGGTTGTTATATATAAAGTTATGTATATATATATATAGATAGGTTTGCACAGATTAAATAGGGGAGTTGCAAAAAATGAGGGACCCCAATACAGACCCCGCGTACTAGGACTACTAGGATCCTGCTTGCAAAACCCCAGAGAGGGACTCCCATCTAAATTTCAGAAGCGGAACATCCTTGTGGCAAGTGGGACTTGTGGTTTACAGGGAGCCCCAACAGCATGCATCCCACAACCCCTGTTAAGTATGCCAACATCTATAAATCAGGTGTATGCCACCGGAACGATTATGGTTGGGTGACTCCCTGAAATACGAACCTACAAATCCTAGCCTCAACCAGCAGATAGCTACTTAACGGATCCTGAATGTGGGGCGTCCCTGGAATGCCTCAAGCCGCTCCTCGATGCGAGACAAGGCGGCCTGGAAAGAACCCTTGAACCATCAAATCATGCACTCAGGAGGGTTTGGGGTTTGGGATTTTGACATGTGTTGAGCTTAGGGTTCAGGCCTTAAGGTGTGATAGAGTAATGAGACATGGAAGAAAGATGTGGGCACCTGTGACGAACGTACGGATATGCTGTTGCAGGAGAACGTACCCTTCTGATCGCAACGGGCCGACATATGCCAAATTGGGCCTGGCCTAATGCTGTGAAGGGAATGCATGTTGGATTTGTGGCCAAGGCTACATTAGAGGTTGTCGTCCGGATTACATGAGGGACTATACAGACTCTGCCGTATTGAACTTCATCGCTACACGGCCTAGATGGTCCAAGATATCAGGACTAAGTTTCGCGTGAAAGCTTGAGCCTTGAATTGAATACATAATGGCCTGGCCAGTAGCAATAATTCTCCTGTAACATCTCAAACCCAAACCCTGATTATTCCGGTTGCTATCTCCAACCACACACACACACAGAGGTAAGTATGTGTGTGCGAGGGGAGAGGGAGAGAGAGAAAGAGAGAGAGAGAGAGAGACACAGGACATATATGCGAAAAGCGATAGATCGATTGATTGATTGATTGATCGATAGATCGGTCGATAAAGGTAGGACCTGTATCCACGTGCAGCGACAAAGCTTCATGACAACAAACAGCTACAGGCCTCAATCTCTGTAACGCTGAGCAGCAGCTCGCTGTAGAAGTCGGCAGTGGTTTCAGCTTGGTCAAAGACCTCGTCTACTCCAACTCTGCCGATCTCTGTCGATAACGCGCACACACACACACACAAACAAGCAAGTTGAAAACCAACACTGAGAATCTGCAGAAGTGGTCATGCCAATGTGTCCTTCCATAGTCTCGGTGTAAAGGGGGTTCTGTCGACATTAAATCCGCATCTGGAGTCTGGAGACACACAACTTGTCGTCCCAAAACCCTGTGTCAAAATGTCCGGTTTAGGAGCTTGGCTTGAAAAGCTCATGCTCAGAGTAGTCAGCAAAGAACAAAACTCGGGAATCCCAAACCCTTGGCACCACATCCCCATAATCACCTTGCCCCCTTTGTTAAACACCCTCCCCCCCATGATCAAAACACACTGGGGCGAATCCTCCCGAATCATCCCTGCCCTTGAATCTGAACTGGGGGAGGATTTCGAAGCACCAAGCAGCTAGAGCAGGAGCAAGAGCAAAAACAAAAGCGGGAGCACCAGCAAGAGCGGGAGTACCTTCAAGACGACATGAACCCTAAAAGGGTTTAAGGTTCATATACCTTTTAGGGATTCATAGTATAAGGGTACAGGGCCTTTACTTTTAAGGGTCTTTTGGTCCTTAAGGAGAGCAGGAGCAAAAGCGGGAGCAACAGCAAGAGCAGGAGCAGGCACAAGAGACGCAGCAGAAGCCGGAGCAAAAGCTAGCGTGGGAGCAGGAGCCACAGCAGGAGCAAGAGCACGA